CGTGGCCGGCGCCTTAGCCAGTTGAGCTATAGGCGCCGAGCCAGCACACTGTCTTCATTGTAATTAATAGACCCTCCTCAGTGAGATCTTTTATTCCTCTGTCCAGATGCCCCTCCCCCACTTCACATACATACAGGAGAGATGAAGGACAAGTGTGTGGTTCTAGACTTGACCCAACCTTGTGTGTTCACTGCCCCATTCTATATCAAGATGTCAATCTAAGTACTATTTCTCAAAAACTTTAATACTGGAATATGATGCCACCATCCTCACTGTCCCCAGTGTCGAACTGGAAATCAGAATATCATGGCTGTTTGATTTTATCCATAGCTTGACTTTGGACCATCCCTTTCAGTCCCTATCTATTAAGAACACACAACAGGCGGGCACCGTGTAAGGTGTGGGGAAGCAAAATGAACATCAGTGTCTGCCCAGCACCTAACACAGTGGCTGGTATTCTCCTGTCCGCAAATGTTTGTAGATGAAAAATTGTGTACACTGCATACTTCCTTTGCATCAGGCACTGTTCAAAGCACTTTGTGAATACCAGGCATTTAATTTCCACATCAACCCTATAAGATACGTATTGTTATTGTTACCATTACAACTTTGGCAATGAAAGTTGTAATGAGGAAAGAGAAGCAATGTCTCTGTGCTCACATGGCCTGACTTGAGAGGCCTCAATGAAAAAAACTGCATGAGCCTATTTCTTTGAGGAGTCAGCAGGATGTAGGGGGATGCTAACATTTGTTATCGGGTCCCATGGCAAAAATTAGAACATATTACCTACCATTGAGGCATATGAGTTGAACTGAGTTGAACTGAAATAACTTAAAGTTTAGAAATTTCAAAAGGTGAGATATGCTGGTAAGATCCTAGGATAATGTAGAGGACATATAAGTATTTGATCTGGAATTTGGAAAATGGGTAGAAACCTTTTTCATCATGCTGGTTTTCGTTTATCTTTTTTGTTAACAAGTTTGTTTATTATCACGCATACGTCTATACAACCTTGACAATGAAAAGAATATTAAGACGCATCTCCCTTCTGCCCCCTTTGCTGAAGGCAATTCCTGTTACCAGTTTCTTACGTCTTTCCAAATGTGTAGGTCTTAGCATTTGATAGATCAGTAGGGCGACTATAGTTAACAATAACCTATCATATATTTCAAAATAGGTAGAAGAGAATAATTCAGATGTTCCTAGCATAAAGAAAAAATATTTATTCAAGGTTATGGATAGCCCAATTATCCTGATTTGATCTTTGCACAGTATTTAAATGTATCAAATTATCACATGTACCCCCAAAATATAGACATCTGTTATATACCAATTTAAGAAAATGGCAGAGAAGAAATCAGAGACTTCAGGATAAAGAGAATGGGGAAATGAAACTTCTCTGGATTTCCTGGCATCCTAATAAAGAACAGCAGCTTCCCGAAACTTTTTCTATATGCTGAGAATTGAATCAGTAATTATTTCTAAAGGTAATAGCGTTGATTCAAAAGAATAATCAAACTTTTCTCTTTCTGAGAGGGCCGAATTGTTAAAGCCTGAATGAAGTCACTAGGTTAAGCCCCCAAGGTGCCAGGAAGTCTCCAGTTTCCCAAGCAGGCCAGCATAAGCTTGTGCCATCAGCACACAACATGTAAGAAGGAATGAGCCCCAGAACTTGGAGACCAGTCGTAGGACTTGTCATAAAAGCAGAGACATGCAAGGGACTATCTGGCAGAGATTTTATTCACCTACCAAAGTGACGGAGTAAGGGGGAAATATTTAAGGTAGAGAGAGGGACAGGTGCTTCTTTCCTCTTTCTAAGCAGGGAAAATATCACAAGTTTTTTAATGGAATACATGGTTGCTTGTGAGGTCACAAAGACAAGTGACCTCACTCTCATCACGTCATCTTAGGGTAGAGGATGTCCAAAACATTTACTATTTACTGTGAGCCATTTTATAAGAAAGCTGACTTTGATCTAGAACGTCCAAAACATCTGATATGCACTTTGGGGACAAAATTAATGAAAATAAATATGAAAAAACTAAAAATCTCCAAATATATAGGTCTGATAGGTTGGATTTTTATGAGACTTTAAAAAGTCCATTCTAGATGGAGACACAAATGCAGACTCACGTGTTTCAAGTGTTCAGGGGACGGCAAGTAGTCTGCTGTGTGTGAAACTGAGGGTGCACAGCTAAGACTTCCATCTCTTCACGTGGCAAGTGGGGAAAAGTGTCCCCATGATTTCCTGCCACAGTATGCCTCTCAGGGATGTTATAAAGGTAAAGCAGACTACTTTCTAGTTTTGGAGAGAAGAGAACTTGGACTCTATGCTGCCATTTGTTCACTCATTCATTCATTCACCCCTTTTAATTCATTCACTTGGGCAATAAAGATTTACTGATCTTCTGCTATGTCCCAGGTGGGTGTTAGGGATCTATCAGTGAATAAAGAGTTCCTACTCTTGGAAGCTTACAGTTGTACAAGGATGACAGGCATTGAACCAGAATTTAAAACATGATCAGCGATATGAAGGAGAGATGCCAAGTGCATTAGAAGCACAGGACAGGAGAGCCTAACCGAAGCCAGGAGTCAGGGATGTCTTTCCTAAGGAGGAAATGTTGAAATGGAGACCAAAGAGGATGAGAGGAGCTAGCCAGGGAAATTATGGGTGGATGTGGGCTTTCAGGGTAGGGAAAGGCATGTGCACAGAGCAAGACAGAAGGATCCTGGCACATCAAGAATGGGAACAGGGTTCCACTGACTGATACGGCTGCAATTTAAAAAGCAACATCAGACAAGTTATCTTTTCTTTCTGGGCCCGAACTTACCATAAGAACTATGGGGCCAATAACTTCTGTTTCTTCTCTACCTTAAAGAAATGCCATAGATAGATGCTAAAAGCACATTTATAAAAGTGTCAGGGCTAAGCAAAAAATTAAAAAATAAAAAGGGATTATCATTAGGTGGAATCCCATCTCGGAGAAAAGTTGGCTAAAGCCTACTAATTTCAGGCCATTATCCACGGGCCCATGTGAACCACTCTCTTTTCAAAGCAGAATTATCCGTGAAGGAAAGTGAGTTGGTGTTGACAACTACAAATGTTTCCTCCCAGACTCTCAGTAAGCAGGGGGAGACTGAATCACAGCCCCACTGGAAAACACTCATCAGGCGGGGGGATGTTTCAGTACTGAGGACTCCACATGAAGGGTTTTATGAGCCACTTTAAAGCCCCCACTTATGTTTCCACTTATGCTCAGGTGCCCCCAGACACAGCCACTCACGCACGCAGGTGTTACATCATCGTTCTTTATGTGGGCTAGAGGTGTGAGGGTCTCTTCCTAATGGAGTTTTGGTTCCACACCCCATGATCGAATATCATAAACCACTCTGCCTCTATGCACCCACCCCTCCCCTTTACTTTTCCTCTTCTCTCCTATTTTTTTTTTAATTTTTAATTTTTTTGCAGTTCACTACCTTACCCCACATCCCCTCTTTCTTCATTCCCCTTACTAATTTCAAGTTCTAGAAGCAACCATGGCACAAAGGGTCGGCAGGGTCAGGTAGGGGGAGGGCTGCATGGGAGATATTTGAGAGGGTGAAAGGTTATGATCTAAACACTGGAATCATTTTCATTCTCTTTTCCTCCATATCAAAGTTGATCTAGAAAAATCAATGGCACGATACCAATTTTTAATCTTGTTTTGAATTTCAGATTCCTTTGAGAAATGATATTTATGGAGGTACTCCCAGAAAAACGTGCATATGCTTGTATACAACTTTTTGTACATATGTTTAGGGGGTTCATAATTGCACATGTGGCTCTGAATTTTCTCTCCCTTCTTTATATATAGAAGTTTGGGTTCAGAATTCAAGAGGTTACTCTCTTGGGTACTGTGTCTACAATTCAGATATGTGGTCCCCAGAGGAGTCACATCATCTGGGCAGTCAAGCATTCATAAATGTGGCTGGAAGGAAGCTCAGCATGCTTTCCAGTGTGTCTGTGTAAAACAACAAATACAACACCATTTCTCATCGAATCAAGTAGCAGGGGAGAACACTCCATTTTAAGGGTTGATTTTTGAGTAATGTTTAAAATAAATGTAGCCAGGCGCCGTGGCTCACACCTGTATTTCTAGGACTCTGGGAGGCCGAGGCAGGTAGATTACCTGAGCTCAGGAGTTTGAGGCCAGCCTGAGCAAGAGCTACAGCCCATCTAGGGTATAAACAGAAAAATTAACTAGGCGTTATACCAGATGCCTACAGGCATGAGTGACACCATGGCACTCTCCCCAGGGCTGCAGAGTGAGACTCTGTCTCAAAAATCAATCAATTAATTAATTTAAAAAATAAAAGAACAAATACCTTATTGCCTTTCTCATTTTTCCTCAATAATTATTATGAATTTCAGCCACTCTAATCGTACTTTTTCTTTTTCCCTAATCACTGACTCTCTAGCCTATGATTCGCTGGGTCCTGTACTGGACAGTGCTGGGATTTCCAGGTGTTTAGGTATCAAGAATATTTTGGCCATTGTGTCTAATTTTTAGCAGCTCATCTTAACCACAGATATATTGTGGAGGGGTCTCTCCTGGTAACCGCATTACTTAAGCAGATGGTTTTATCATATTCCTCCGTCTTTTTTATCGACTAGAACAATCTGTGCTCTCTCTGAGTCATGGGCTCCTTCTTTTATCAAGGTTAGCTTATGGTTAAGTTCAGTTATGTACATGTTATGCAAATACGGTTTTTAGCATTAATAAATAGATCGGATACTTATTAAAAGCGTCCTATGTGCCAAGCACTGTTATAGGTCCTAGGATCAAAACAGTGAACAAAATGAAGGTCTTCCTCCTGAGAGATTTGCATTCTAGTGGAAGGGACAAAAATAAGATAAACAAATAGACAGTTAACATCAAGCATTGGTAAGTACAGTATGAAGGCAGAGGCTATTTTAGATAGATGGTCAGAGGAGGTCCCTTAGAGGAGATACCTTTTTGAAAAGAAACCTAAAATGAGTGAAAGAGCTATCCAGGTATGTCAGGGAAGAGATTTTCCACATGGAGGAACAGTAAATACAAGAGCTCTCTGGATAAGAATGCTCTCGGTGGGCTGAGAGAGCAACCCCGAGCTGGTGTGGCCAGAGCGTATGGAGTAAGTAGTCAGGGCTAGAAGCGGAGGAGCAGCTGTATGAGGCTCAGGGTGTGCGGCCTTTGAAGCCACATCAGTCAAGGAATACGAATTTTATTCTACAGATGCTAAAAAGCCCTGGAGGTTTAAAAGCAGAAGAGAGTCCTAGCACTCTGGGAGGCCAAGGCTGGTGGATTCCTTGAGCTCACCAGTTCGAGACCAACCTGAGCAAAAGCGAGACCTTATCTCTACTAGAAATAGAAAAACAGAGGCAAGAGGATCGCTTGAGCCTGAGTTGGAGGTTGCTGGGAGCTATGACACCACAGCACTTTACCCAGGGCAACAGCTTGAGACTCTGTCTCCAAAAAAAAAAAAAGTAGAAGAGATTTAAAATTGGGATTTTAAAAGACAGCTCTGTCCATTGTAGGGATGCAGGGAGATTAGTTGGAGGACAATGGCTGTCCCCACGCCTGAGACAATGGCCACGGAAACAGAGAAAGTGCAAAGGGCTCAGATGCCAGACATATTTGGAAGTCAGAGCCAACAGGATTTGCTGTTAAACTGAATGTGGAGTATGAGAAAAAGAAAGGAGTCAAGGATGATTGCGATGTTTTGACCTGAGAAATGGGGTGAATTATAACGTTTGCAGGTGTTTCGGAATCAAAGTTCTTTTGCTTGGTTTCACGTGCCCTTTAGACCTTCTAGGACTGAACTGTACAGGCAGTCAGGAGTTCAGGGAAGGTTTGGATGGGAGATATCGCTCTGTAAGCATTCTAGAAAAATGCCAAACTGTGTGCCTGGATGAGAAACTGGATGAGTGATGATGCAGAAGAGAAGTCCGAGTACTGGGATGCTCCAATAGTTAGATATCTGGAAGAGCAGCCATTCCCCTCCAAGGACACTGAGAAAGGGTAGCCACAAGATATAGGAGAAAAACCAAGAGAGTACGGTGTTCCCAGGGCCAAATGAAGACAGTGTTTCAACAATGGGGTAAAAAACTATGCTAAGGGTTCCCAAGAAAGCAAATAAGAAAAGGACTTTGACTTGGCTTAGTGGAATAGACAGTGACCTTGACAAAAGGGGTCCCAGGGAGTGGAAGGGAAGAGCTCCTGTTTGGAGTGGGTACAAGGAAAACTGGGTCCAGAAGTGGGGACTGAAGGTATAAACAGTCATGAAAGGAGTTTTCTACGAAGGAAAACAGAGAAAGGGGGAGGTAACTGGAGATGGACCTGGGATCAGAGCCCAGATTTTTTAATAGGAGAGAAATTACATATTCACATGTTGTATATGGATCAGAATGACCCAGTTGAAAACGAATAACGCAAGCAGCAGAGGCAGTTACAGAAACAAAGCCTAGAAATAGGTGTGTATTTCATGAGGGAAGAGGCTGGCCTTAAATGAGAACATAGAACATCCATTCGGGCAGGTGGCTCAATTTGGGGGTGGTAATAAATGGAGCCTCTCTTTTTGTTTCTTCTATTTTTTTTTTCCAGAGAAACACAAAGCAAAATCATCAGCTGAGAGAGGAAGGAAAAGAGTAGGTTGTGGGTTTGAGGACAGAGGAGGTGTTAAGTAATCAGCAGCAGGATCCCTTCTAGTGGTTTGAAAGGTTTTTGGGTTTTTGTGTCTTGCTTTTTGCTTATTGTTGGCTCAGCTTTTTTGAAAAAGAGAAATAAAATAGTATCTCTCCCTCAATATTATTAATTATCTCAGGGTGTTTTCAAGAGCCAGGCTGCCACAGGTTGAATGCTGGGTTTACCACCTCCCTGGCTTCACATTCCTGAAACTTTCTCATTTTCTGCATATGTGAAGTGATGCTTCTGTAGCCTTAGTCCCCCGGGAAAACGAGCACAGAATTGTTTTCCATTGATCTCCATCCTCTATGCTAGTGTTCAGTGATGGCAAGAACTCTGGTAGAGGAATTGACAGACCAAGATTCTGTCCCTGACTCCCCCACTTAGTAGTTATGTGACTCTGAGGGAGGCATTTAACTTCTCTGTGCTTTGCGGGCATAACTATAAATCTGAGTGGATAGAAACCTGGTGTTCTAGTTAGTCTATACATGTCTTTTCAAAGTAATTTTAGGATTTCTGTTGAGATTTTTGAAAGACCCAGAATATAGTAGGGACCCTCGTAGTAGGCCTTATAAACTACTAAGCACCTGCTCAGCCCAGGGATAGCCCACAAGGAAAAGGGAGAGCCTGCAGCGTGTCGCTCCTGACTCACAGACGTGAGATGGTCTAAGACCTCCGTAATAAGGGGCTCTCTTCTCCTCCCTCCCATAGTCACAGGCATGATGAACTGCCCGAAGACTCTCCACCAGTTGGGAAGGAAAGTGCTGCTGCCTCTGACACATGAAGGGATAAATAAGAGCATGGACAAAAGCATCCACATCGTTGTCACAGTAGCAACATCACCAGAAAACAGCGTCAAGAAGAAAATAGTGTCTCTTGATCCGTCTGAAGGAGGCCCTCCGCATTATCTAAAGGACCGCTACAAGTTTCATCTGGAGAATTTGAGCCTGGACATCCTGGAAAGCAGGAAGGAGGATGAGGGATGGTACTTTATGACCCTGGAGAAAAACGATTCAGTTCAGCACTTTTGCCGGCAGCTGAAACTTTATGGTAATAACGGTGGCCTCTCCCGTCTACGGTGCAGAGCCGAGATGGTCCCTTGTCCAAAAATTTAGGCCTCTCTTAAAAGCAAATGTTTTCAGAATTGGAAGCAACTTGAAGATCATCTAGTTCAGGGGTGTTTAAACCGTGCTTCATGGAAAAGGTTTCCGAGGTTTACAACGTTTCCGCCACACTGCACACTGGTGGGGGTAATTACTCTTACTTACATTTCCCCCCAAACAGGAGCCCAACTGCCTGTGGGCTGGAGGGCCCGTAGCCCCAAGAGTCTTGGTCTGCAAATAAGATTTTATCTGGAAACAGATTCTTTTTTTCATTTTAAAAAGTTTGAATGTCACTGATCAAACCTAACCTTTCCCATAGATAAAGATAACGAGATTCAGAAAGAAGTGGTTTGCACATGTCTCTACACATGTGTGTAGGTGGTTCACGGCACTGGGGCTTCTGGGTAAAGAGCACTGAAATTCTGCCCGCATGCCACTCACCAAACCCTGTGACCTGATAAAGGACCACATTTACCTGGTGGGAAAAGAACTCTTTTTCTCATTTAAACAAAGGCTATGGTGATAAAGTCGCTTACTTGCAACTTCAACTAGGACCCAGGTCCATCTGAACCAAAGGCCAAAGCTTTTGGGGGCCTTTTTAACTGACAGTCCCTCTCAAATGTACCTCTTAGGTGTGTGTCTCTTAGGCCCAAAGGCTCACCTGAATTCTCAGGAATCCCAATAGCACATATCTGAGGATAAGACAGGAATTCTTACCTGCCCAGCCTTTCTTGGAAGTCCTCAGTTATCTAAAGGGGACACAGCAATACCCAAGCAGATCCTCTCCACCCCAGCACCCCCTTTCCTTTAAACAGTACATGCAGAATTCCCACAGCCTTCATAGGCTCCTGGGATCCTGATTACTCCAGCAGAGTCTCTGGGGCAGGCCTGCCAGGCACACACAAGCTGCATGTGAAGCAGTTGTTAAAACAGTGTGGGTGCCACACGTTCAACACTGTTCACTGTTCCTATCAGTTCACTGCCCCAATCATCCAGCCCATGATCCAATTCGTACTTTGGGAATGTGGTCTCTGCAACCCTACCATTTTTCTCAACTCAAAGAAAGAGGCTGGATTCTGGAGTCAGACAGACCTAGGTTCAGATCTCAATTTAGCCACTTAGAAGCTTTGTGACATTGTATAAGATATTCCACTTCTTTGGAACTCCATTTCCTTATCCATAAAATAGCAATCATGGGAACTAGAATTATAATTGTTGAAAAGATTAAAGAAGGTGATGAGGGTGAAACTCCATCACTTGCTTTTTCTATAGCAATTGCTGAATTAACAAAACTGTCCTTTTATCTTGCCTATTTCAAGGCATCAGAGTGGGATGGATTGATGGGGCCTGTGCCTATAGTGGAGCACATAGCTCTATCTCAGACACACAAAAGCACTTGCTACACACACCCCCACACACTATAGATGAAATCACACCATCATTCTTTTATGTCTAGGAAGTAATAATTTAAGCCAATTAAAGTCCAGGGGGGTCAACTGACAGCAAACTCCACTGGAGTGAGTGAGGGCAAGTGAAGCTCTCGCAGTCTCAGTAGAAGGGGACTAAAACAAAAATCCATCTTCTTTATTTTATCCCAAGGTGGTCTTAGGAAGGATTTAGTGGGAAATGAGGGATGGAGTGGGAAGGGAGGGGTGGCCCAAGAGGTCACCACTAGAAATAAATCCCACTGAAGACCCATGGGAAAGGATGCCGTTAGTCTGTGCTGTGTTCTAACAAAGCAGTCAAGTGAGAATTCCCAGAGGTTCATTTCAATGATGGCTCCCTTCCTCCCACTCCTGACAGAGCAGGTCTCTACTCCAGAAATTAAAGTGTTAAACAAGACCCAGGAGAATGGGACCTGCACCTTGATGCTGGCCTGCATGGTGGAGAAGGGGGACAATGTGGTTTATAGCTGGAGTGAGAAGGCGGCCAGCCAGCCTCTGAGCTCAGTCAACAGCTCCCACCTGCTGTCTGTCACCCTCGGCCCCCAGCAAGCTGACAACACCTACATCTGCACTGTGAGCAACCCCATCAGCAAACAATCCAAAGCCATCACGCCCTGGCCCAGATGCCACACAGAACCCTCGGGTGAGTACGCTGGGGTGGCTAGGGTGCTACCCTAACAGTATGGGCTCAGCTTCCACCCGAGCCAATTGTTCTGCTTTCCTACCCATGGCAAGTTTGCGTTCAGTGAGTGAAAGTCATTGTGTGTGTTCAGTGAGTGCACCTTCACATTGGCCAGGGTGACACTGTCATGTACAGTTCACAGTTGAGGAGACAATGGGAAATGACGAAGCTAGACCAAGAAGCCAGCTGCCCCAGGCATTGTCCTTCCTCTCTGCCTCCTGCCTTGGCTCCAACCTACAAGGTTGGCTGGGTGAGTGCAAGTGATAGGTCCAGACTCTCAAGTTTATATTCCACTAAGGGTGGAACAATTCTATACATCAGTAAGTATTTATTGATCACCTACTCTGTAGGAAATTGGGAGTAAATATGACACGTGATCTCTGTTCTCTAACAATCAATGCTTTGTAAAGATAAGACAGGAAACATTTGCTCAATCATGAAACACGGGACATAACGGAAGGCCCTAATTTTATAGAAGAGACTGTGAATCCCACAGCAGGTCAGAGGGCCAGGGGAGCCAGAGAGAGGTGGAACTAAGACCTTGACTCAGGAGCTGAGGAATAATGATAAATTGAGTACCACCTTATTACTGGCAAAGCACTTCCAACCGTCATTATCACCACCATGATGCAGATGAGGACACTGAAATTCATAGCACTTCAGTACCTCCTCCAGTTTAAATGGAGTTAGCACCTAAACATAGTCTTTTGAGCACACTTTCTCTAGAAAGAAAAGCATCTTTATTCTGTTACCAAACAGAAGAGAGAACTAATTAAGTACATCCATCTAACCATATGGATACAGGATAGAACAGGGGCCCTTTTCACCAGCCAATCTTGTGCCCCTGATTCATGTTCAAGAACAGAAGGAGCAGGGCCCTGCAAGGCATTGTTTATGCCCTGTAATTTTCCTGTCTGCACCCAATGGGAGGAAACAGGAGTCATTCTGAGAAGACTCCTTCCCACAGTAGCCGTGGTGTCCGTGTTGAGGGCTTTCCCACCTGACCATAGGTAAGGCATTGGGGTAGCCAGCCAAGTTATGCCTTTCCACATAGCACCTCCTGTCACAGAATCTCCCCTGGAGTCTTCCAAATAGACTTCTAAGAAAATCTCACCTGGCCCTCAGGCTGCACCTGGGAGTTCTCCAGTGATCCTAACCCACTGTGTGTCGCCTCTCCAAGCCGTTTCATAGCAGGAGTCACCCACCTGTCCTCTTACTGGATGTGTGAGGTTGCTTGCCCTCATTGCTTCCAAACCACATTCAGAGGTTCTCCTCCCAGCTCAGACCTCTCTCCCCACCCACAGTCATTCAGAAAGTGTTGGCAGAACCAGGAAAGCAGTGTTTCATTTCACAGTGGGTGCTTTACAGAATGTGGCCCCACAAGTCCTGTTCCAACACTGCATGAATAAGTCATTCAACCCTCTGAGACTTACTTAGACCCTTCATCTATAAATAATAACAACAACAGGAAAATCTTAATTGTTTACCCTGTGCCATTTAAGTAGCATCTCCTTTAAACCTCACAGCAACCAGATAATATTGATGGAGTTAGTATCCTCACTTTATAGACGAGGAAACAAAGCTATAAAAAGATTAAGTAAGGCTGCACACAGAGCAAGTGATGGAGTGGGGCCGTCTGGTCCTTGGAGCCTCTTAAGTATTAGTGGAAGAAATAATATATTTAAAGTACCTTATAAACCATTAAAAAATATGCTTTTATTATGTGAACTATATAACTACTACTAGTCTCACTTTGTCACCCTTGGTAGAGTGCTGTGGCATCACAGCTCACAGTACCCTCCAGCTCTTGGGCTTAGCCAATTATCTTGCCTCAGCCTCCTGAGTAGCTAAGACTCCAGGCACCCACCACAATGTCTGGCTATTTTTTTTGTTGCAGTTTGACCAGGGCTGGGTTTGAATCTGCCACCCTCGGTGTATGAGGCCGGCACCCTACCCACTGAGCCACAGGCGCTACCCCAACTACTACTATTTTTTACATAACTAAGGAAGCAGGGGCCCATACCTTAGCATAGTACTCTCTGGTTAAAGCTGCCCTAGTAGTATAAAGACAGGGCACCAAATGTTTTGCCCTGGCCTATCCCTAAAAGGGGTAGACTTTCTTCATGCTCCTCAATATGGTTTAACAGAAATTTCATTAGTACATACCAAAGTCTCGGTAGGTCACAAAACTTACGCTAAGGGCACTTGGCTCAGGACATTCTAGGGAACATTTGAAGATGGTTTTCCCCATCTAAACCACAATGAATATCAAGTATACACCAGTAAGAACCAGATTTACTGAGTTTGAAGCAGGTTCTTGGGAGATGTGGTGGGAAAAGAAGCCACAGGATCATGGTGCCATGGGAAGCACCCTGGGGGGGTCTCAGCTGAGTCATAAAGAGAACCTCCCACCAGGACACAGCCCTGTCTCTCGGGTCTCTGTTTTATCATCTGTAAAATGAAAAAGATGAGCAAGTAATGTCCCTCCCAGAGTTGATAGTCCATGCCTCAGTTTATGTGTATAGCAAGATGAACTGCCAAGGTATATTAGTTTGCTAAGGCTACTATAGCAAAGTGCCACAAATTGTTGTGGCTCAAACAATAGAAAGATATTGTCTCACAGTTCTGGAAGCCAGAAGTCTCAAATCAAGTGTCAGTAGGACTGGTGTTTTCCTGAGGGCTGTGAGGAAAGGGTCTATTGCAGGCCTCTCTTCCTGGCTTGTAGATGGCTGGCTTCTCCTGATTTCTCTTCATATCATCTTCCCTCCAGGCATATTTTTGTGTCCAAATTTCCTCTTCTCATAAGCCTCTTCTCATGGCTTGACACTCGTAGCTCTGTGGTTAGGGCACCGGCCACATACACTGAGGCTAACAGGTTTGAACCCAGCCCAGGACCTGCTAAACAACAATGACAACTGCAACAAGAAAATAGCCGGGCACTGTGGCTGGCGCCTGAAGTCCCAGCTACTTGGGAAGCTGAGACAAGATAATCACTTAAGCCCAAGAGTTTGAGGTTGCTGTGAGCTGTGACACCAAAGCACTCTACCGAGGGCAACATAACAAGACTCTTGTCTCACACACACACACACAAAAAAAAACACACCAGTCATACAGGATTAGGGCCTGCCTGTGCTAGGGCTGCCATTACCTGTGTACCACAGCCCAGGGGGCTTAAAGAACAGGGACAGTTCTTTAACAGTCGTTAAAACAGTGGTTTTCTCACAGTCCCAGAAGCTAGAGGTCCAGGATCAGATGTCAGCAGGTCTAGTTTCTTCAGAGGCCTCTCTCCGCAGCTTGATCGTGCCCACCTTCCCTCTGTATCCTCGCTTGGTCTTCCCTTTGTGTGCTCGAATCCCTGGTGTCTCTTTGTGGGTCCAAATTTCCTCTTCTTATAAGGACACCAGTCAGATTAGATTAGGGCCCAGCCTACTGACTTCATTTTAACTTAAACATCTCTTTAAAGATCCCATCTTTAAATACAGTAACATCTAACATCATGGGGTCAGAGCTTCAACATATGAATTTTGTGGTGACACGATTCAGCCCATAACACCAGCATGATGACTTCCTTTTAACTTGATTGTCTATTTTAAGAACTTATCTCCATATAAGATCACATTCTAAGGACATCAACATATAAATTAGGGGGAACACAATTCGATCTGCAACACAAATAGAGAGTCTCCCCCCACACACCTCCCACCATCTGCAGGGACGGGGAAACCACTGTGCCAGATTATGCAGCTGGTTTGCAGCACACCCTTCTCCGTATATCAGGTCACCTAAATACCCAAAACAGAGTTTTTATTAGTACATTAACTTTGTTTTGCAAATGAATACTACTAATTCTTAACAAACTGCACTAGTTTGACAAAACATTTGCTGAAACCCTACCATATCCCAACACTGTGGTAGGTGCTGCATAGACAAAGGTGATGATCCTTGTCCTTAAGAAGATAGTTCTATAAGTAAATAATTATCCTACGTTACATAGCGTGACAGGTGCAAAACAGAAGTAAGTTTAAGGTAACAAAGAGAAGGGAATGATGATCTCTCAGGGATCAGAGAGAGCATCACAGCAGATGCGAAAGAAGCTGTGATTTAAAAATAAATGAAAATTATCCAAGCTAATGACAGACATTCCAGGCAGAGGGAAAAACAGATTCAGCGGAGTCTTATTCTATGTTTTCTTGTAGGTGATGGGAACCAGTAGAGTTGTAGATAGAGGAGGGGCACCGTCAGTTTTGCCTTTAAAAGAGAAAATTCAGTGCAGTAGAGATAGACTGGGGCAGAGTAGAGGCAGAAGAAAAAGAACCTAGTTATGCAGGGACATTCTTGGCAGTAATCTGTCCAGAGATGATGAAGCCTGAGCCAAAGCCAGAACTGTGAGTTAACAAGGACATTCTTCTTAGGATAGGCAAAGGGAAATCCCAGCCTTGTGGTGAAATGGTAGAGTCTGAGGGTTTAGTAGCGATTACTTCACCATCTATTACCAGCACTGTGATTTTAAGACGTTTTAATTTTTTTAATGAAAAACTCTACGTGGTTAATTCTGTGATGAGACCAAATGCGACGTGATGTCAACCCTATCTCTTGAAAGGACTTGCTTAGCTGAAACAAACCATGCAAAAACATACTGAATTTGTTCCTTGAAATCCTTTTCTTCAAGTGACATTTGTCCAGGCTCTTGGTCACATATTCATCCTTGTTTCAATTGCCATTTCAGCGTTTTACAGTAAGAAGCAAAATGTCTATTATAATGAAATATCTGCATTGCAAAGTCCAAGTCCTAGGCTGCTACCAAATACTCCAGCTAGGTCACGTGAGGCCTGTTGATGTGGGTCAACCCTGGACAGTGTGTGACTTGCGGCCTCCTTTGATGACTGTATTCTAAAATAGCTATGTCTGTGCTAGAATGATTAATACCTAACCTTAAATAATTTAACTAAAAGGGAATGCCC